CCGGCGTTTTAGGAGTATTTTAAATGACTGTTATTTTATTTTATGACAGGTTTTAATTGTAGTTTATATGAAACTCTGTGTAAGCCGCCCTGAGCCTGCCTTGGCAGGGAGAGTGGGGTATAAACCGAATTAAATAATTTTTTTACAGCCCTGTTCTCCCCAGGATCCATCCCCAAATTTTCAGGAAAATCTCAATCTGGAGGTGGCAACCCTAGTAACATAGGCAGATATAACAGCGACACATCCTGTGAAAGTTCTGCCAGTTCCCTAAAGGGCTAGAGTACATGTGTGTTAAAGCTGCCCAGTGTGGGCAGATGGGGAGAGGGGAACCCCTCACCTGTACTTTTTGGCCTGAGAACTTCGTAAGTACTATTTTTCCTCCCAAAGGGGGTTACTTCTGGTCATAGTCAGAGCAAAAGGAAAGAGCTGCTTTAAAAAGTGGTTTGGGAGGAGGAAAGGGAGATACAGTACTTCTTCCTCTCCATACTGAGAATGGAATCACTCCTGTCCAATGCTCCCTCTGTGCTGTGGAGTTTTGTGAGCAAAAATTCTACTTTGTGAGCTAGTGGCAGTAAAGTTGTTAAGTGAGCAATTTGGCTACTGCATGAATCAGTTTGCTCTGGAGCCATCCTTCCTGAGCTAAGACAAAAATGTGTGAGCCAGAGGCTAAAAAAACTGTGAGCTAGCTCACATTAACTCAGCTTAGAGGGAACACTGCTCCTGTCTGCTTTTATGGAGAGTCCACACCAGGTTCAATTCTGCACAGCAGTCTGCTGCCATTTGGTTCTGAGGCAGCCTCCATTTGCATGAATTGTCTCAGACAGGAGAGGAAGCCTAATTAGTTCAGGGGCTTAAGCATCTTGTGTGCCCAAATTAAGAACAGTTTGGAAGAAAGCCAACAGAGAACAATGGTTTGGTTTCTCATATTGCAAAGGTAGGGGCCACCAGACAATATGCTTTAAAGGAAGTCGCTTTCATACACAGAACAACCAGCCACTGCAGGAAGTGGTTATCGAAGAAAGGGAGGGTGTTTTCAAGCAGGGTTAGACACATTTGGAGGGCAGAAACCAATGAGTCAGCAAAAACTGACAGGCTAAAAATCTTTCCCCCAGCAATTTATCTGTTTAATTTGACAGGTATTGGATTTCGTTACCTGTGTTAGCTGTCTTGGGTAAAGTTGCTAACTCCGTGCTGGGAAATTCCTGGAAATTTGGGAGGAGCCAGGTCCAGGCAGGGGAGAACCTCAGATGGGATGAGAAACCACAGAGTCTGCCCGGTGAAGTTCCCATTTTCTCCTGCAGAACAGGTCTCTGTAGTCAAGAGATCAGCTGTAACTCGAAGAGCGCTTCAGGCCCCACCTAGAGCTTAGCAAACTTAGCCTGAGGTCCTGACTTGGCCGGAGAAAGACAGGCTTATCAATATAACTAAATGTACGTTTATAGAATGCGTTAGAATTCCAGTTTGTACCAGCATGGTAAATTTAAAGCTTTACAGCATCCTAGCAGCTTGAAGAACTTAGAATCACGGAACCATAGAATCCTAGAGTTGGAAGGGAATCCAGGGCCATCTAGTCCAACCCCCAGCACAATACAGGAAATCCACAAATACCTCCCCACCACCACCCAGGGACCCATGCTCTATGCCCAGAAGAGGGCAACCCCCCCCAAAAAAAACCCCTCCAGGATCCCTGGCCAAACTGGCCTGGAGAAAAATGGCTTCCTGACCCCAAAGTGGCAATTAGCATTTCCCTGGGCATGTAAGAAAGGGCCACAAGAACTAAGCATTGATGCAACCCTTCCTGCTCGCCCTCTCATGACCTAAGTTCACAGAATCAGCACTGCTGTCAGATGGCCATCTAGCCTCTGTTTAAAAACCTTCAAAGAAGGAGAGCTCACTACCTCCCGAGGAAGGCTGTTCCACTGAGGAACTGCTCTAACTGTCAGGAAGTTCTTTCTAATGTTTAGCTGAAAACTATTTTGATTTAATTTCAACCTGTTGGTTCTGGTCCAGCCTTCTGGGGCAACAGAAAACCACTCCATACCATCCTCTATATGACAGCCCTTCAACTACTTGAAGATGGTTATCATATCATCTTCTCAGTTGTCTCCTCTCCAGGCTAAACATACCCAGCTCCTTCAACCTTACTTAGGATGCATTAACTTTAGAGTAATCCTGAGCGAAAATAAACAGAAGCCTTGTGGCATTTTAAAGACTAACAAAAATTAATTCTACCATAAGGCTTTTCAGACTGGAACCCACTTTTTTCCAATGAAACAGGCATTGTACTGGAAGGAACACTGCATCTATTCCTACTGCAGCAAGTCTTGTCGATTTTAATGCATCTTTAAAAATCAAGTGTAATCAAATACAGACTTGATTTCTATGGAGGAAGGAGGGGGAAATACTTTTAGAACGCTAGTTTGCTAATCTAGAAATTTTGTAAAACTATGCAAGGAAAATAGTTGTGTGGCATCTTGGAAGCATTTTTTTTTCATACAACTTGTCACAGCACAGTGATCACAGGTAGCAGAACTTCCATGACACACGTTCAGAACAGAGACAGACACATGGCAGAAAATACAATCTTTGAACAACCGTCCAGAGAATACTATTTTAGCCACCATGGATGTGGAATCTCTGTATAGCAACATCCCACACAAAGATGGATTATAAACCATAAGGAATATGTTTCTGACAGCACATTTTGATTGTCTGGACATATAGTAAATATGCCTCGGACATATTCCACCAGACATTCAATGACTCTCATCCCACCATCAATCTGACAATGAACCAATCTATGCAAGAAATACATTGTCTGGACACTAAAATACACAATGGATGCATAGACACCACCTTATACCCAAAACCAACTGACCAACAAACATACCTACATGCCTCCAGCTACCATCCTAAACATACCAGATGATCCATTGTATATAGCAAGGGTGTACGCTACAGCTGCATCTGCTCCAAACCTACAGACAGAGACCCTCACCTGAGGGATCTACAACATACCTTTTTGGAACTAAGGTATCCACCTGATGAAGTCAAGAAACAGATTAACAAAGCCAGAAGGATACCCAGAGAAAACCTGTTACAAGACAGGCCCAAAAGAGACAATAACAGAACACCTCTAGCGGTGACATACAGCTCTCAACTCAAAGCAGTTCGACACATCTTCAGTGATTTACAATCTCTACTGGATGACAGGTCTCTTTCACAAGTACTAGGGTTGCCAAGTCTATCTTTGCTGGGAGTGGGGGGCTCCTGGCCAGCGTCTTGCGCGCGCGCTGCAACGCACATCACCCGGAAGTGACGGGAGGACACCAGGCACGCTGGGGCCGTGGCCCCGCCCCCAGCGTGCCCGGCGTGCCCACTTCCGGGTGACGCGCACGTCAGGGTGGAGTTCCCCCAGGGGGCAGTGCCGGGGAACGGGCCTCTGGGACGGGGTTTTCCCCTCCCCCCGGGGGGACTTGGGATCCCTAACAAGTACTGAGGGGCAAAACTTTTCTTGTGCACAGACAGCCCCCCAACAACTCCTCACCCACATCTAATTTGAACATCGATACTGGGACCAGAGTTTGCAATAAAATCAGGTGACAACTTTCCTGCCACAGACACCCAGACAACACAATCACTGGACTTAACAACATCAACTACACCAACTCAGGCTTATTCACATGCTCATCTTCTAACATTGTATATGCCATTAAATGCCAATAATGCCCTTCAGTTCTCTACATAGGGCAAACAGATCAAACCCTACACCGAAGGATAAATGACACAAATCTGACATCAAGAATCTCAAGACTGAGAAACTTGTAGGAGAACATTTCAGCCTTCCAGGACACTCAGTGGGGGACCTCAAAGTAGCTGTTTTATTGCAAAGGAACTTTGGGAACAGACTAGAAAGGGAAATGCTGCGTCGCAAGTTATTACAACACTCAGAACAATGGAATCCCCAGGACTTAACAGGGATATTGGTTCCTTAACTCATTACATATGCTAACCTCATTCAGCCCTTACATCTGTATTCTCACCAGTCCCCCAGAAGGAATATACATCCTCTTTATTTTATTTCTTGGAATAGTAGATTAGAATAGTAGATTGTAATGTAATGAATAGTAGAATACCATGTAGTTTGGAATGGTAGATTGGAATGTATTTCTCTGGTCTGGGGATAGGGGAGATAACTCTACACAGCCAATCGCCCCACTTCAAAGAAGATGCTGTAAGGTCACCTCCAAGCTTAAGGAGGCAAATGTAGTGTAAAGCAGGGTCTCGTTAATTTCTCTCAGCATTCCACAGTTAAGGATACATCTGTCCATCCATCTCAAATTTTGACATATTTATTCCCTTCACTATGTTCCACCCCCAAATTAAACCCAAAGAAATGGTAACCCTATAAACTAAGCTTGTTATTCCTGTTTGGTCCTTGAATCTAACATCTTTATTATGTTGTATGCCAATTTACTGCTGCTCACTCTCTACCTATATGTATGGACTGGTAACTTCCATGTCACTGTATCTGAAGAAGTATGCCTGCACACAAAAGCTCATACCAAGGGTTACCGACTGTGGGTTGGGAAATACCTGGAGATTTTTTTTGAGGGGGGAGCCTGAGGATAGCCGAGTTTAGGGAGAGGAGAGATTTCAGTGGGGCATAATACCATACAGCCCACCTTCCAGTGCAGCCATTTTCTCCAAGTGAACTGATCTCTGTTCCCTGGAGATCAGTTGTAATCCCAGGAGATCTCCAGCTACTATCTGGAGGCGGGCAACCCTACTTATACCTTGGATAAAACTCTGTCGGGCTTAAAGGAGCCGCTGGACTCAAACTTTGCTTCAGATGGCCTTGTAGCACGCCTACACCGAAGTTGACGGAAGACCACAGTATTGTGGGAGTTGTAGTCTTAAACTTACCAGACGCTTCCGGGAGAGTATGTCAGTGAAGACTACGCTTCCCAGGGAGCATTGCAAGGCCGTGAAAGAACGACGCGAATCAGGTGGCGGGGAGGCCTGTCTGGTGGCTTTAGTTTTAATCTATTGCCGCCCTTTGAGGTTTTGTTCACGCGCTGTTAATATGTCGGACTGACCAGAGGATGAGCAAGAAGAGGTGCGGCTCACTTTTGGTTTTGTTGCGGGCATCTCGCCCCCTCCCCTTTGCAAGGACGGAGAGAAGTTTATTTTAATAATTTTTGGGTTTTTCCCCTGAGACTCTCTCGCCAGGTGGCTCGAAGTGGTCTTGCAAGTCACCCGATTCCGTATCGCGTGCAGCCCGATTCTGTGCATGTTTATTTCGGAGTAGGTCCCGCTGTAGTCAGTAGAGCTGGAACCAAAACAAGTGCGCAGCTTGCTAACTAGCGCAAAGGGCCGCCTCGAGGATTCAAAATATCGTGTATTCACCATGGCTTAGGACTCCGTGAGAACTGGAGGAGGGTTGGGACGGGAAGGTTTAAGTCTGCAGCTGCATCGCTGATGGCATAAAAAGATTGTCCGCTGTAAGGAAATGCTTGTGGTTCAGTAGTAGGGAGGGCTGCCAGTCTCCAGGTGGCGGCTGGAGATCTCCCGGAATTACTGCTGGTCTCTAAGTTACAGAGATCAATTTTCCTGTAGAAAACGGCTGCTTTGGAAGTTGGACTCTATGTCACTCACTGAGGTCTTTCCCTTCCCCAGGCTCTACAGAGCTGGCAACCCTAGCTAGGAGCATCTGCTTGAAATGCAGAGGGTCCCAGGTTCAATCCCTGGCTTCTCCAGCTAAAAAGATTAGGTAGATGGTGAAGTGAAAGAGCTCCGCCAGAGAGTTGCTTCCAGTCAGAGTAGACAAGAATGACCTTGATCAACCAAGGTCTGACTTGATTTAAGGCAGCTTCATGTGTTTGGGAGGTGATTCTGAGCCACCTGTCTAAATTCATCTGTGTCGACAGTTGGATCACTCTTCTTACGCAGAAGACACCAACTACACTTATTTATACTTGGGTTGGGATTGATTTCCAAATTGGGAGGTGGGAAACTGAAAGACCCCATTCTCTCTCTTCTCTTTAGCCTCCTGCTGCTTCCTGAATGAGCCATAAACAAGGTGGAAGCCCGATGCTTCACAAGCTATGTTGTCTAACTCATCTACCTCATCTTCTGCCACAGCAAGACCCTCCTCTACTGATACATTTAAACTTCACAATATCTGTCACCTGCTGACCAGAAGATTGCTGGGGTTTTACACAAATGATGCTGGTGTTGTCTATAGGAAAAACATGGGGATCCTGAGGAAGTTAATTTGCCAGGTATTGTGCTGGCTTCTGGAGGTTCCCAGTATGGTGACCCTTGGGAGTGGAAATTTAAAGCGAAACCAATATGTAGATCATTTTCAAGGACCTACATATGGATTTGATGCTGTTTTATACACAGCTATGTAGAAACACTGTATTGTGTTAAGCAGCCCTAAGGGAATCTCTTCTGGGATTAATAAACTGGATTGTGTGGCATTTTAAAGATTTAACAGGTTTTTAAAGTGTAATTTAAACATTTGTGGATTAGAAACCACTTCCTCAGATTCCTGTGAAGTCCATGGAATCCCCTGCTAGAAAAAAAATACTTTAAGATGCCATGACTTCTGTTTATTTTTATTGCGATAGACCAGTGATGGCGAACCTTTTAGAGACCGCGTGCCCAAACTGCGACCCAAAACCCACTTATTTATCGCAAAGTGCCAACATGGCAATTTAACCTGAATACTGAGGGTTTACTTTAGGAAAAAACAACTCATACATTAACTTAAGATGATCCAAACAAAGTAAGGAAAGCAATCCCAAATGCTTTCATTCACTTAAAATTATTTGGCAGAGAGAATTCGACACTTTAATGATGGTCTGGGCCTGGCTGGGGCGATGGCACGTGTGCCCACAGAGAGGGCTCTGCGTGCCACCTCTGGCACCTGTGCCATAGGTTCGCCACCACTGCGATAGACTAACATTCCTCTGGAATTATTTTCTAGGATTGTTATCCTGATGGACAGAACAGCGAGCAGGTTAAGATACTCTCAATATGAATGTTGGCTCTTTCACGGATCACTTAAGTTTGTAGATGATCTGTGAATTCCCTTTATTGGACAAGGCAATCTGACTGTTGTTCCATTATCCTAGGATAACATTTTAAAAGTGCTTAATCATGACCCCCTCGTCTTGCCAGGAGTCTGTTACTCAATTCAGCTTGTTGAATATTTAAACAAATCAAAATTGGAATTGTGTTGAGGGTGAACTGACGGTGTAAACAAACCCTGTGAAATTTTAAAAACAAGGAAGCTAACCTTTCTGTCTAGAGGAAGAAAACGTGCACATCTTTGTATTACACCAGTCCAATATAATATCAGTAGGAAAACACTACTCATAATCGTTGAAGCTCTTTTAATTGTTATAATTGAAATGTTGCATTTAAATCTTAAATTCCGAATATACAGCATTTGCATGTAGTAGTAGCCAATCTGTGGAAACTAATATAATTAATATAAAAATGTAAATACGAATGATTTAACTAAACAGAACTGTGTTTTCCCATTGGTCAGAAGGGATTTTTAAAAAAATTTAAAGTCCTATTTTTATGATATGGTAAAAAGGCGTTAGACCAAATGTTTAAAAAAACAAATTGTTTCTCAGAATGTTCACTATAATGTTATTTATCTTCACTACAACATGATTAACTTGTACAGCCATTTTCAATTTTTCCTAAACCATGTACACTTTTGTAGAACACCGTGATTTATTTCAGGAAAGTACAACATTCAAGAATGTTTGGACAACACATTCCACATCTCCAATTGCTTATCAGAGTGGAAAGATTTATTTTGATAATTATCGGTGCTGTGTGAGCAGGTAATTTTTTAAAAGGATACTTGCTCTTTATTTGCTTTTTGAATAGCTTGTTCTGCCAGATCTTGTGAACCAGAATGTGACATTTCCTGTGCAATCCCATATAAATGAAACTGTCTCCTGTATGCATATTTGTAGAATGGAGGCTTATAGAAATTACCAGGGGGCTCTGGACCATATTCAAAGGCTGCAGAGTTTGTATGTTTTCATTTAGAAACCGTGCAGCAGGGTTATAAGTATATTCTTTACTCTCTCTTGCAACCCTGGGATTCACTATCAGTAAGAAAATATTCTTCACACAATCCATAGTTAACTTTAGCACTGTGTCATACAGTTTTAGGAGCTGCGGTGGCTCAAGTGGTTAAGACGCTGAACTGCAGGCTGTGGAAGGTCGGTAGTTCAGCAGTTCGAGACCCGAGTGTGCCGCATGATGGAGTGAGCTCCCATCTCTAGTTCCAGCTCCTGCCAACCTAGCAGTTCGAAAGCAAGAAATTGCAAGTAGATAAATAGGTACCACTTCAGTGGGAAGGTAACAGCGTTCCGTGCACCTTGGTGTTTAGTCATGCCGGCCACATGACCACGGAAATGCCTTCGGACAGCGCTGGCTCTTCGGCTTTGAAACGGAGATGAGCACCACAACCCTAGAGTTGGACTCGACTGGCTTTCGAGCAAGGGAACCTTTACCTTTACTTTACATACAGTTTTGGCTGCTGGTTTAAATGGCATTAAAAAGATTTAGAGAAATTTAATGGAAAATGCACTTCTAATTGAATACCAGCCATGACAGCGAAATAGAGCCTCCAAATTCAGGGGGAACCTTTACCTTTACTTTACATACAGTTTTGGCTGCTGGTTTAAATGGCATTAAAAAGATTTAGAGGAAATTTAATGGAAAATGCACCTCTAATTGAATACCAGCCATGACAGCTAAATAGAGCCTCCAAATTCAGGAATTATAGACCTTTGAACAGCCGGTGCTAGAGACAAATATTTGGGAAGGGCTATTACCTCATGGCCTGTTGGTGGACTGTTGATGCAGCATTCTCGACTAGATAATTCCCTTGGTCTGATCCCTCTCCTTAGGTTCTTAATTTGTGTGGCCCCATAACCATTCCATTCTTTTTAAATTGTCTTCCAAAAATTCAGCTTTCAGTTGCCATTCTGGAATTAACATTACAAAATTTGGAGAGCTGTTAGGATACCCAACAGATAATAGTAGCCCACTTCTCAGCAGATTTACCTTAGATCAGATGTGCCTTGTATTTCTGTGTTACAGGTACTTTTTAAAAATCAAGCAAGCTAGGAATTCAGGGAACCCAATAGACACTTTATGCAAGAATGTTCAGTTGCCAATTTAAAAACAAACAGCCCTCCAAGTGGATGAAGAGGAACTGGCCACTTTGGGGGCCTGGACCAGGGAAAATGGAGGGAAACCTGTCATGTGGAAGCTCCATTACCATTGCACTGTATCTCAGGGAACCCACACAAGCCCATCCTTGTGTGGAAAACACCACAGCGAGTTGAGGCAGATTGTGGACAGAGTGGGCAAAATGGATGGGCCATAGCTGGAGAGATTTTGTAGGTGGTGGCCTGAGACACAAGAAGGAAAAGACAGTCTGCCGTGTTTTGTGAAAGATGAGACACTGGGCCGCAGAGCTGAGGGACAGCCCTGAATGCCAGTTGCAGGAGGAACTGGCCGTGATTGATAATAGTACTCAGAAAGACCTTTCGAATAATGGGAAGTGATACACTCTAATCCCTTTTTTCCTCAGTGTCACACCTGAGCCAAGGATAATTTATCAAATGCCAGCGTGCTCTAAATCAGAAAAAATAGAGGATGCTTTATTATTGGAATGCCCTGTGGTAAGGTTCTTTCTTTAAAAAGTCATTCTGCTTAGTAAGGACAGGACGCTCTCTTCTGTCTTAATCTGTGTGTGTGTGTGTGTGTGTTATGTAAAAATAAATAAATATATTCCTTTTAATCAGAAGTCCTACAAATGAAATAATCCCTGGGTAACACTTTTAGAGACTAAAATAGACAGCATCTGCCTATTTTTATATATATACATACATAACAGGAACGTGCCTGCGGTCTGTCACTGTGGTGACCTATCTTCCTCACAGGACTGTGGCGTCTGAATAGAGATATAACGTCTCCTAGCAAATGAATGCTCATTTGCAAAGCACAATCCGATACGTGCTCTGAGAGTCCAAAAGAGCAGCCATGCTGGCTAGCTGCTGCCTATTATAATACATTACCTTTGTCTTTTATATTTACTGCAGGAATAGGAAAATGCCCATTGCTATGGTGACTGCTGTGCTGTGCCGCAGGCCTTGTATTTGGGGTGGGGGTGGGGAATATAAGGGTGCCTCTGTGTTGTCTGGGTACGGTGACATGCTGTACTGCCTTGACAGCATAAGGCCATTCTGCCCAGGGTCTGGTGTGTAGGTTTTTCTCATGAATACAAAGTCAGTATTGTCTGCTCAGACTGGCAGCAGCTTTCCAAGATCTCAGGCAGAGATCTTTCACATCACCTACTGCTAGATCATTTAACTGGAGATACTTGGGATTGAACCAGGGACCTTCTGCATGCCAAGCAGATGCTCTGTCACTAAGCCACAGTGTCTCAAGTGTAGTTCTTAAAGCATCCATTTGTCTGGGAGAAAATAGAAGGAGCATGCTCAGGCACATAGTTGGGTGTTGGCGCAAGCCATGCTCCCTCTCCTAATGACTCTAGCCTACTCCTAGCTGCTCAGCCTTGCCCCTTCATTTGCATAGCCCTATTCTGGGATGTGTTTCTTGGTCACACTAAAGTGTGACAGTGTTGAGTGGGCTTTCCCCCCTGTATGAAGTGTACAAGAGACAGTTTGACATTCTCTTGGTTCATTTAGATTTGTGTCCTGCCCAATCCAGAAGACCTAGGATGGAGGGAAAATGTTAGTTTCTTCGTGGATCGTTATATGTGATTAAAATTGCTCTTCTGATATGCAGGATACTTTATGGGTCCTTGGTCACAATTTGGATTGTTGTCTCTTGCTTAGATGCCTCTAAAACAGCATTTTTTCCCCTGCAATATTAGTCAGTCACAACACTTTTTGGGTTGGATCCCACCTGCTTTTTTCACTATACCTCATGTCAGGTTCAACAGCAAGTAAATCTCCACACATGTTTCCAGGGAAGCGTTATGCTTTATTAGACTACAGGTCTGTTACCATGTCCACAGGGTTATTGTTAGGAATGACAATAGGGCGGGACCATCCCTTCATATAGCAGGATGAGGCAAAGCAAATGAAATCCGAGCGCGCGCACGGGAATTCTCCCGGCAGGAGGTTACATGATAAGCGGGAGAGTCTCAGTGCTCCATGAGAACCTAAATATTCACACCAGCGGTGGAACGCAAGCCCTCCCCTCGTCACAAGGTCAGACAGATAACTCAGTCTGGCAGCACTGGTTCTCACGGTCTCCCTATCGCTGTTTACGGCAAGCGGGCAGAGCAGCGAGCAAGCAGTGGGGCATGCACCGTAGCGCCAGGGTCAGAGAAGGGATCAAGCAAAACATGGCAGCTAGCTGACACCTCATCCAGTTCCCCTCCATATTACCGACCCATCCGACATGGCTTTTCTCCATGATTCTTAGCATAGGTTTTTTTGGTGGTCCCTGGGGAACTCCTGCCTCCTTTTTTCACCATCTTTGATAAGGCGTTTACAGTCAGTCGGCATTTGCTTTACTGTTACCTTGAATCACTGTGTATGTTTTTACCATCTCTACTTATTCATGTGATTAAAGTTGAATTGTTTTAAAATAGGGTGGAGTGCTGCCCAGGCCATCAGACGGCAAACCTTCCTTAGCAGTTCTGACAGCCCACAACTGGCTTTTTCGTCTCTCTGCAAGTACTGGAGAAATAGTTGAGAGAGTATATCTTACACCCCACTGCAAATTCAGGTAATAAAGGTAGGCTTACTATGAGACCACTTCGGTTAGTTTGCAGTTGGAGAGTGACGTGCTTAGCAACCCAGTCCTGTGGCACGTTGACTGGAAAATAACACCTTTCTGTTGTATGGAACTTGCTTCTGACTAGACACACATATGGCTCAGGTCCGTATTCGAACGCACGAGCACTTCCCATCGGACTCACTAGGCCAGGGGTGTCGAACACATTTGTTATGAGGGCCGGATCTGACATAAATGAGACTTTGTTGGGCCGGGCCATGTGTGCCATAAAATGTAATGCCAGGTAGCGGAGATACAAACTTTATAAAGGACACAAACACAAAGATTATTTTTTTTACTTAAAATAAAAACACGCTTAAAACATTAGCTCCGTAAGCTGCAAACCTACTTTTGATTTATTGACATTCGCCACAGAAATCTCATGCTCAGAGTTCTGAGGCTAGGACCCAGGTTAAAACATGAAATGGCTGAGTGATTAAGAGAGTCTGGCGAAGCAAGCTATGATGCAGCAGCAGCAGCAAAACTGGAAGCAGGAGATGGCCAGTTCCACTGCGGGCCTGATGGAAGCCCTCCAGGGGCCTGATCCAGCCCACGGGCCGCATGTTTGACACCCCTGCACTAGGCTGTTCTTCCAAATATTGCAACAGATTAATTTGTGACAGGTGTAGAATCTAAGACAGATGGTGGCCTTTACTTGCTAGCAGCATTTCCATAGAAATAGCAAGGGTCTTGGGTCTTTGACAGTAGAAAAGAGTAAGAGCCCACTAGCACCTTAAAAACTAACAAAATTTGTGGTAGGAGGAGGAGGAGAAAGAGGAGAAGAAGAAGAAGGGATTGGATTTATACCCCGCCCTTCACTTGGAGCCTCAGAGCGGCTTACAAACTCCTTTCCCTTCCCCTCCCCACAGCAGACACCCTGTGAGATAGGTGAGGCTGAGAGAGCTCTGACAGAAACTGCTCTTTTTCAAGAACAGCTCTGATAGAACTATGGCTTGCCCAAGGTCATCCAGCAGCTGTGAGTGGAGGAGTGGGGAATCAAACCCGGTTCTCCCAGATTAGAGTCCGCGCACTTAACCACTACACCAAACTGGCTCCTGAGCTTTTGTGAGTCACTGCTCACTTCTTCAGATACAGCTAGAATGTGACCCATCTTAGGTCTTTGAGGAAGACCAGCAAGGTCTTTCCAAGTTTTCATTTACCACCTTTTACAACAGCAGTGTTCTAACACCAGAACGAATGTGTTTCAAGATATGGTGTTCAAAGAACAGCTCCATAAGGTTGTCTTTTTGCCATTATACAGAATGGGTATCTTAACAGTGCCATCCTAAACAGAGCTCTACTCTTTAAATCTTATTGGACTTAAAATGATGTAATTCTGCCTAGGATGGCACTGTCAGTTGGAGAAACTCATTTACATGGCAAGTCTTGAGTCTGTGTTATAGACCAGGGTTCGAATTACTATGCTGATTGTTGGGGGACCATGGGCTGGTCACCCTAACCTACCACACAGGGTTGCTGTGAAAATAAAATTAGGAAAGGAGAACCATATTATGCTGCCCTGAGTTCTGTGGGGGAAAGGTGGGATAAAATGTGCTAGTAGCACAGTAACCCTATTTTGTTAAGCTTTTTAGAATTAGTCAATTGTTAGGGGTTTTTTAATGCTATGTATTTTGATTTTCATTCATTTAATTTATTCTGATAAATTTACCTTTTATCCCCAACAGATATCTGAGCTGGGATACCCCTCAAGAGATCATGGTTGTGAAATCGGCTCAGTGTAAGGTCCCGGCAGCTGCACGGCAGGTATGTTTATCTGAAAATGTTTATGTCCAAATATTCGAAAAGACCTTTTTGTAAGCTTCCATCTTCACATTGAGTAAAGTGGGTTTGGGGAAATGTTTGTCCCTGATTTTTGCTATGAGGATACCCGTATAACATACATTATTGCTTAATGAAATTTTCTTTGGATTAATTTATGGCGCAGACTCTCTCCAGAGTGGCTGTTCTTGTGTAGCCTTTTTGTTTATTTAATGCCTGTTTGTCCTGCTAAAATAGAGCCTCCAAGGTGGGTTACAAATTCAATAAAAGAGGCTAAAACCAAAAGAAAAAGAAAACAAAGAAAAAGTCATAAGAGTTCATAAGGCAGCATAGAATTAAAAAACAGACAAGTCAGGCAAGCGTATCTTGGAGAAAATGCCACCCTTGGCGCACCACAACTAAAAAGTCTCTCTCTTGAGTAGTCACCCTCTGATGGTTGAAACTCGTATGGGAGTAGTCAGTTCTTTTAAATACCCTGCCCCCCCGGGGGGGGGGGGGGGGGGGTTGGTCCAAAACAACTATTTCCATTGTGCCTGGAAATGAAATGAGAGTGAGTGAGGATCTATAACACTAGGATAAAGGTTCTCAAAGTTGCATCCTACTTACCAGGTTGGCTGCCGTCTTCTGTAGTGGTGGTTTCAAAACAGTTTTCAAAGATGGCCTCATGTATTCTATCCTGGATGGTTCAGAATTGTGAGTGACTGTGGCAAAGTCATCTCTTTGTGGAAGAAGATGTGGCATCACTTCTTTGTCGAGGCTGAAAATCGTAGCCTGGTAGCCCAGTCAAATAAAACAAAAGTCCAGTGGCACCTTAAAAACTAACGTTTATTTCACTATTTCATGAGACTTTAAGACGCCACTGGACTTTTGTTTCGTTGTGCTACAGCGGACTAAGGCAGCTACCCCTCTGTAATAGCCTAAGTCTAGCCCCCTTCCCCTTTCCACTGGCAGCTCGCAAATCTCTTGGTGCCTCTATCAAGACCATTCTGGGATATTACCCCGATCTCTTCATCTTAGTTTCTATCAAGGTTATGTTTTCTAAGAGTAAGCATCTATCACAAAGAATAGACACTTTCTTAGTGGAAGGGAGAGAGTGTGTCTCTGTGAATGTCAGGAAATCAGGAAAAATACATTCACGGGTTGGGTGAGTTCATGGCTTTTTAAGTATTTGAGAAAAGGCAAGAGGGAATTCCCACTTGCATGTTTCCTAATGTCATACAAGCTGACATACGAGAACTATTTTCAGTATGTTTCTTCCTAGGCAGGCATCCAACAGTCTGTGCTCTTCTTCCTTGCTGTATTCAGAGTTCTGCCTCTTGCATTTATCGGAATGCTAGAAATTGACAAAAAAGTAAGTTTACTGTGGATAAGTTGGTGGTCTCTTATCTGGTGGTACTGGAACAGCATAAATCCCACTAATATGCTTTTCATACACTTCAAAGAGGCTTGTCTTCCTTTCCCCCAGAGTACATTCTCCCTGCACCCAGGAGATGTCAGGATTTGCTACTTAAGTTTTATTTTTCCTAAAATTATAGCTGCTATTTCATAAAACATAGCCAGTTTTCCAAGTGTTTATGAATAGGATTGTGGTCTTGTACAGATACATGACTGTGATAGTACATTTCCATGTATATTCAGGTATACCATATAACTAAAGACTCTGTAAAATTTAATACTCTGGGGAGGGAAGCGTGCGTTTGTGTGTGTGTAAAATTGTCATCAAGTCACAGCCGACTTATGACCAACCTGTAGGATTTTTGAGGCAAGCGACTAACAAAGGTGGTTTGCCGTCGCCTTCCTCTGCATAACGACTCTGGAATTCTTTGGTGGTCTCCCATGCCATTACTAACCTTCTTAGCTTCTGAGATCTGATGAGACCAGGCTAGCCTGGGCCAACAGGTCAGAGTAAAAGAGTTCCTGCACCACGAGAAATGTGGAAACATGGGCACTGTCAGGCAAAGATTGCCACAGGCTCAGGGAATAGAAGTGGCCAGCAAACTCCAAGTTCCACAACTTTCTCCTCCTGTGCTGTTTATTCCTGACAGGAAGTAATGACAAATTGTTATGCAATGTGGAAGGAGAATTTAGGCAAAACAATCTAGGTTTAAGCAGAGAGATGTATAATTTAATTGAATAATTCTTTGAACTTGGGTTTCCTTGGTGCAAAATTTGGAATTTGAATAACAAATGCATGCGTTCCTGCTGACTGTGATACAAAATGCATACGTGCTTGGGTGAGCATTCCAGCAACTCAAAGTGGTTACTTAACCGCAAGGGGCGGGGAGGAAGTGATCAATAGTGAACAAATGTTTTTAGTTTTCTGTGGGTGTTTTATTCCTGCTCCTGCACTTTCACAAGTCTCAGTAAAATATCCTGTGAAATGTTATATATATAATGTATTGTATTCCACGACTGCGTGCTCTTGGTTGTGTCTTGCATGGAAACTCCTGCCTGACATTTGCTTGGGTGAAATAGTCACTAGTGGGATATGACCGCCTTTGAAGGAAGCATTGCCTTGTTCTTTCCACCAGATACAGAGAATGGGAACATTCTGTTCCTTTACCAGTGCTAGTGTTTTTATCAAGTGCCGGAGACCTCTGCTGTCTGTTTCTTCTTTTCTTATGAGCTATTTTTTCCTCCCTCAAACTAGATCTTTGGAAACAGCGTAACAGATGCTGCCATGTCTCATAGAATGCTGATCGTGATGCACGGTGTGGGTCTTGTCAGGCTATATAGCTTCCAGTCCATCTCTGAAAAGGTAACGGAACCTCACCATTGTTGTTTATTAATAGTAGTACAGCAGGATTACAGCAGCATCAATGTAATGTGGTGTTTTACAGAGTAATCTAAGGGGAAAATGTATAGGTCCCTACTCCAAGAACCTTGCAGTGCCATCCTAAATAGAGTTATACCCTTCTAAGCCCATTGACTTTGACAGATTTAGAATGGCATCTCTGCTCAGGACCGTGTTGTAATTTGTTTACAATTACAGTCCACGTCCCATCTTTCCGGACTTGTCCAAAGTGGTTGCTGATAACCAGTGGGTTAAAATTACAATAAAATGTCAAAGATCTGCAATAAAATCAAGATTCACAGACTGGAAACCAGCTAGAATATAACTAACTGTGCAATCACAGCAAAAACTGCTAGCAGCTTGCTCTTAGCCAAATGTTTTTTGGGGGAAACTAGTTTCATGAGGTCATCAGCAATGCTCCCTCTAGGCTGTTGAGTCTTGTGAGCAAAAATTCTACTTTGTGAGCTACTGGCATTAAAGTTGTGAGCGAGCGATTTCGCTACTGCATACATTAGTTTGCTCTGGACCCATCCTTTCTGATGTGTGAGCCAGAGGCTAAAAAACTGTGAGCTAGTCAGCTTAGAGGGAACACTGGTCATCAGGATGACAGAAGGGAGGTGAGAACCAGCCCCGTAGCTAGGGAATTCTTTGGGAGGGGGCCTCGGTGGGCCGGCCAGCTAATTAAATGGAAGTACAGTGCAGGTGGTAAGTTGGAGCACTTTGGGGGCAGCCCGGGAGGGAGGGGGCCCAGAAGAAACACTAGGGGGCCGGGCCGGGGTGGAGAGTTGTGCAGCACAGGTAGAATTCCTTTTACCCACAAAAACATTAGCTTGGATCCAATCTGTTTATAACCGAACTATATAAAGGAAAATTGGGATGAGGCAGCTCCATGAAATTCCAAGAGAAACATGCAAAAAGGTTTGTACAGCCACAAAAACATTAAGGCATGTCCAGAATGTTTTACATTAAATGCTAAAGGAATGATTTCTCCTTCTATGGGAATATTCCACACAGTCATCGGATCCAATGAATATAGTTTAATGGCACTGTCCCCATAGGTGCTGGCTGGCACATTTCCCTTTGAAAAGATTACCACTTGGACTGATAGATCAGCTTATGGCTTGAGAAGCTTGTATTCTTCTAGTTTTGTATTTTCAGTGTATCATCTCCTGTTGTTGTTTAAATAATACATTGAAGTATGCAAAATAGTGAATTAGCAAGAGTGTATTGCATCTGTATGTGCTACTGAAAATAAATTTTTGTTCAAATTAAGGGACAAGGCAATAATTAGAAAACAAACTTATGTCTGAATGGACTTCCTTTCCTTAGATGACAGTGAACTGTCAAAACTTTCTGTAGAACAGCATATGGTGCGCATACAAAAATAATTAATCAGCTTTAGCTTTTTTTAGTTTATGACACAACAAGTGGATTTGGAACATGAATGCAACTGGAACGGCAAAGCTGGGATCGTGGGAAAATACCCTTTTGGCGTTCCCTGTAACATTAAAATAACAGGTATTTATAAAGAGTTTTTGTTTCTTCACTTTAGCTGTTGGGGTTCTTTTCACAGAATAGTCTGGTGCTGCCAACAACACTTTTATTGTGTTCTCTTATAGAGGACCAGTTGGTTTATGGTGTTCATACTGAGAATGTAAACCAAATTTATTTCTTGGAACTGCTATTTTGCCTCATTCCAGTGGCATGGGGTCAGGCCACAATATTAAAAAGCTTATCTAATAAAATGTTGATTAAAAATCAAACCAAGTAAGTCATATGCTGTGAATTCCTCAGGAGTTTTGTTCAAAACTTGTTTCTTGTTCTGACAAGGCAGGGTAATGTTTTCATGTTCAAAATGTGTGTTTTACGCACTGCAGATGGGGAGATGTAATACTGCCTGGCCAAACAGGTTAGTTTGTAAAGTTTGCTGACTGAGGTTCAAGTCAAAATTACTATCAGATAGTAATGCTGGAACAGAGGGTATAGCTAAGAACATAAGAAGAGCCTTGCTGGATCAGACAAATGGTCCACCTTGTCCAGCATCCTGTCCCATACAGTGGCTAACCATTTCCATTGGAGGTCCAACTGCAGGGCATAGAGGCTGAGGCCTTCCCCTGATGTTGCCTCCTGGTGCTGAGACTCAGAAGTTGACTGCACCATGAATCTATCTAATCCCCTTTTAAAGTTGTCTGTGCCTGTGGCCATCACTACATCCTCTGCCATACAACAAACATACATCAGTTTTATACAAATTTACCTGTCATGGCTTTTCACAAAGAACTGTGGGAGTTGGGTTGCCCTATTGATAATTCCACTATTGCTTTTTAGTCCCAGGCTTCTCTGGGAAGAGTGAATGATTTTTGAACTGGATTCAATCTGTAGCACAGATACGCCCCAACGTCCTCCAAGAGGGATGCTTGTTTTTTTTGTCCTTTGTAATATCTCCCATAATAGCTGAAAGGAAAACTTGATTTTGCCGTTATTAAATCAAGATGCTTTTTTGTGTAAAGTTAATTGGTGGCTTGGCTTTTTGATCAAACTGTTGGGCAGGGAATTAAAAAGAAGGATCCACATTTAAAAGAAGATTTACTCAAGAACAAACGGAATTATAAATCTGTTAAGATAAACAGTGCTCTTAATGTTCACTGCTATTCAGATACTCCAGATCTGCTTTTTGAGGTGTCTTCCCTGGAGAACACATTTCAGATTGGAGGATACCCTTGGCATTACATCATCACTCCTAACAAGAAAAGCCAAAGAGGAATCTTCCATGTCCGTTCTTTGAAAGACCACACTTTGGTAATATGTTCAAACAACAATCCTCCCCACGTTGTTCCATTTTTGTATGCACGCACCTTCTCAGAAATCATGGAAGAACCAGCACCTGTATTTCCCTGTTTGTTGCTTTCACTAGAAGAGAGAGAAGCTGAACACTCTTGAGAGGGCACCTTTATAATGGTGGAAACATTAGATGTGAATATGAGGTACATAAACAATAGAGAAGGCCCTGAGAGTTAGTAAGTAATATATCTTGTACTTAGAGATGTAAAATTTCTGGAAATGTTGAAGTTTTTTTCAGCTTTTTCCAGAAAAAAACCCCAGAATTTGGTGGAAAAATTGAAATATAGGCAATACTGTCCTTTCAAACCTAAACTAATTCTACTGCTTTAACAACTTAAAATGCATCATTTCTAAATTACTTTGCATATAAAAACACAATATTTGACATATTTATGGGATTTAGAAGTTATAAATGCCTTCGTGTTATACAAGCAGAATTACAAAAATTCCCAATCCTTGAGAGAAAACTGCAAGCTGATGCACCCAATGCCATTTTGCTGCTTGCTTAGAGAGGCCTAAGTTCTCAGTTTTCTTTTGATGCTTAATGGAGTTCCTGCCCTACCTCCTTCTGAACATTTTCCCTTCCCCTGTAAAGTAGGGCAGTAAGCTACTTTTTACCCAGTCTGTGGTTAAATGTGTCAAAGTAGTTTGAGGAAGAGGAGAAAAGGTCAACCGCACAGGGTCAAAAGGACTACAGAAGACATGCAGCTGTTGAAAAGCAACCAAAGCCTTGCATGTTCATGAGGATTAGGTACCCTTCTACGTGCAGAAACGGAACCTGGATTTAAGAGCTGTATCTGTCTACGGCATACCCACCAGTATTTAAAAGCATTTTATTAATTCAAAAGCAGAAAATATTTCACAAGAGTTTTGTTTGAGTACTCCCCCAAATTTCTAATTTTTCTGTTGAAAAATAGGGGGAAAGGAGTGAGGAAAAAATGGGGGAAAGGGGTTTTTTCCAGAATTTTCCGGGGGGGGTGTGTGTTCATTCACATCTCTACTCATACTTATGTCTAATATTTTGCCATTGTAAAGATAAAGTACACTGTAAATGTACTTGGGGGCCACGGTGGCTCAGAGGTTAAGACGCTAAGCTGCAGACCAGAAGGTCTGTAGTTCTACAGTTCGAGACCCTAGTGCCGCGTGACGGAGTGAGGCCTCAGCTCCTGCCTAGCAGTTCGAATGCAAGAAATTGCAAGTAGATAAATAGGTACCACTTCGGTAGGAAGGTAACAGCGTTCCGTGTGCCTCGGCGTTTAGTCATGCCAGCCACATGACCACGGACAGTGCTGGCTTTGGACAGTGCTGGCTCTTTGGCTTGGAAATGGAGATGAGCACCGCCCCCTGGAGTCGGATTCGACTGGCTTTCGAGCAAGGTAAACCTTTACCTTTACCTAAATGTACTTGGGAATATTATTTGGAACCATATCCCACATCCCCGTATCTCTGTGCGCATTCTATTTTGACTTGTTGTAATAGTTGGAGATGCTGAGGTAAAAACAGTGCATTCAGGGTTTACCTGTAATAACAGGGATTGGCAGAGGTGCTAAATCCAGCCCCATTTGAGCCCCCAAATCTATGTGCTCATACTAACTCCAGTGTGATGTAGTGGTTAAGAATGTTCAACTAGTTATCTGAGAGTCCCAGGTTCAGATTCCCACTTGGGCCCTGGAAGTTTGCTGGGTGACGTTGGGCCAGTCACACATTCTCAGCCTAACCTACCACATGGGTTTTGTAAGGATAGAATGGAGGAAAGGAGAATGATATAAGCCCACTTGGATCCCCATTGGGGAGAATGGCAAGGGTATAAATGAATTAAATGGAGAGAAAAAAATCAAAGTGTTATTTAAGGAATATTCTCGCAAACAACCCAATTGCATTATGACAAAGTTCACATAGGTAGGGAAAGGCACATGTGCTTTTGTGCCTGTGTTCTAATAATACGTTTACTTTGTAATTAAAATGAATACAGCAGAGTGGTGTGTTCTGTGACTGTATTATAATTTAGTTCTTGGACTTGGTTAATTACTATAATATCGGACAAGGTATTAAATAGTATTCTGTAAACCCATGCAGCACAGTGGATTTGAGCCAGGAAGATCTGCATTAAAATCTTAGCTTAGTCATGAAGTTCACTGGATGGCCTTGAAAAATTTGATATCTTCAGCCTAAATTGCTGAGGCTTGCTGTGAGGATAAAGCATACCACTCTCCTACGTACCACCCAGAGCTCTTTGGAGAAAGATCAGGATACAATCTGTGTTCATGACTGGGATTTTCTCAGTTTTTGAACTTGCTGTTCCGTTATTGTAGGCGAAGAATGGCATACAGGACATGAAGTGCTGCTCACTGGAACCTGATTGGATATCTTTCCACCCGGACAGTTCTGGAAGAATACTGCATGTGGGACCAAATTTGATTAAGTAAGCCTTTATTGAAACTTGCCAAAGTGATGGAGCAGTTTCCCCAGGTTCAGAGGGGAATGGCTCCCTGGGCTACAGATGACTTCTCAAAATCATGAAGGATAGGTCCATAATAGCTATTAGCCATGACAGTGAAACGGAACTTCCAGAGGCAATATATCTCTGACTGGCAGATTCTGGAGGGTGTGCTTCCCAGAAGCATCCAGGTGGCCAGTACAGGAAGGAAGATGCTCATCTCTATGGACTTCTGATCTAGCGGGGCTCTTATGCTCTAATATTCAATCTCACAGGTGTGAAAGACATAGAAATATTTTCTGTTGCCGGAAAAAACACACATTATCGATTTTTCAATTTGGGTCTAGTGTTTCCCTTCTCTGTTGCTTCACCTCAGCTTGAATTTAAATCAAGATTGCACATGCCATGATAATTTCAAAATTGATTTCTACACTTTCAGAGCTCGAGTGCTTGAGCAGGGATTTTTATAAGCCTCTGGTAGGCCTGATGGGTGGTGATATCAGAAATACAAATACCTTCTTATTTTTTTCGTTGCAGGACTTACGGTCCTAATTACTGCTTTTCTGAATTCTTATTTCAGATGTAGGGTGTGATCCACAAGCCAGCTGTGGTGTTGCAGTCGAGATGCCACATAGCCAGCAGATTTGCTTTTGCTTTTGTTTATTTATATCCACCTCTCCTCTAGTATGTCCCCGGAAGAGTGTTACACTCTTCTGATAACAATCTGCTGTTGATCCCTGGCCCCAAAGACACCCAGCTGTCCTCGGCCAGGGCCTTTTCAGTCCTGGCCCCAACCTGCTGGAACTTTCTGCCAAACACCATCAGGGCTCTGCTGGATCTTATGCAGTTCCATAGGGCCTGTAAGGCAGAGATGTTCTGCCAGGCTTTTGGCTGAGGGCAGCGATGGTTTACATCTGAGAGTTTGTGATGGGCCCAAGGTCACCCAGCAAGCTTCCATAGTAGAAGTGGGAATTCGAACTCAGGTCACCCATAGTGCTAGTCCACCACCCTATCCACTTCACCATACTGACTCTCCAGTGTGTAACACCACCTCTGACTGACTGACTTGGTAGAGTAGTTGTATCAGAACTTGACCAGGATCCTCCGGCCCAATGTAATTGTGAATGATGTCCTGTGCTAACACCAGTCCACAGTGCTTTGGGTATAGTTAGATTATTTTTGCTGGGGGGGATGATTCTTAGAGTCAGTGGTAAGCTCTAAAAACAAATTAAGAGAAAGGGTCCAATGCAGGATAGATTCTGGTGCCACCACCTGCTGACAAGTTGCTAAAAAATTGCCAGTTTGGTGTAGTGGTTAAGAGCACAGACTCTAATCTGGGAGAACCAGGTTTGATTCCCCACTCCCTTCACTTGCAGCTGCTGGTGTGATCTTGGGTCAGTCATAAGTTCTGTCAGAGCTGTTCTTTCAAGGGCAGTTCTTGAGAGAGCTCTCTCTCAGCCCCACCTACCTCACAGGGTGTTTGTTGTGGGGAGGGGAAGGGAAAGGGATTGTAATCCGCTCTGAGACTCCTTCAGGGAGTGAAGGGTGGTGTATAACTCCAATCTCTTCTTATTATTATTAAAAGCACGATGTAACCTGATTCCATCATGCAGAAGATCCCTTCAAGTAACCCATTCCTATGGCGATAGGACTGTATAGTAAATGCTGTATTAATGCTTGAAGGGAGATAATATGGGTCTGGATCGGGCTTTCTTGTGACTATGACTCTGTTTCTTTATTTTTCCTCCCCCTCAACAGAATTTTGAAACTGAAGGAAACTGATAGTGTCACAGAACAGCAGGAAGTCAAAGAAGACTTTATCATTGAAGCCCACAGGGAAAATGATGTGAGAATATAACCAGAAAACTGCATAAAAACAGTAGTTTTTCATATATTTGTAATTTCAATATATTGTAGAGATACTGATTCAGACTTGAACTGAGAACTTCATCTAAAGGTAGGCAGATTACTGTCACTTAAGGGCTGGTTCACACATGCAGTTGTGTCGCTCAGTGATTTGTGTATCTTAGCAGTTTATTAACAATTTAAACACCACAGACAGAACTTTTGGTATCACCCAGTGCCTTTTCAAACAGCAGTGGCTTGGATCCAACAAAACATGAATGGGAGGGTTCACAAAAGGGAGCAAAACCTTGTGCAAGAATGCAGGTGAATATTTCCACAGACTCCCGCCTTTTTGGTGCAGCTTCCTTTAGCATCCTTCCTGGGGGGGGGGGGGGGTCTTCAGTCCCTCAGAAATGAGTTCTTAATGCAGTGGAAAGGGGCAAAGATCCCTTCTGCAAACAGAAGAGCAGCGTTTAATTGGATCTGTTTTTCAAGGGAGACAGTTGAGATTCATCAGAGGAGGTACGTGCGTATATGACTCAGTTGTGGTGATAGCAGTAGGTGGACTTAGGGCTTTGCCTAAGCCGTGAGCTGTCTGGCTTTATGTTGTTTTTTCAGCCACCTGAAGTAACTTGTTTAGAAGCAGGCCTCAAACACGTAGGTCAGTGTTGAAAAGACCTAGGAGCTCACGATGAAGTAACAATGATTGTTATGCTTGAAGACCTGATGTTTTGCAGAGTCATGGTTCAGATGTGGCTCACAACCATGTACATGAGCTTCACAGATGTGTGGGTAACCCTGAGAAGGTGGTGATGCTACGTGAGAAATTCCTTCTTGAAGAGAATGTAGGCTCTAAAAGCATCCACAAGGTTTTTCGTTCCCCCTCACCAGCTGCATAGCAGCAACACCAGCAAATGCGCCACAAATCCCATTGCGCTTGCTGCTGTGGCTCCCAACCCCGGCGCCTCCCCTTTCCAGACACTGCCTGTGACATGGCCC